CTGATCTGCCCCCCAATCAGCACAGGCCCACTCTGTGTAGACTGGTCAGGAATATAGAACTGCAGGGGGAGCAGTTTGCTGTAAAGACTCAGCCCCAGACCAGAGTTTCTACACAACCCAGGTGTACTGGAGACCCAGAAGTACCTACAAAGTCAGCCATTAAAACCAGAGCTGCCCAAAAAGCCTTCCCCGGGGAATCAGCAACAAAGCAGCAATTTAACTCAACTACAAGGCTCAAATGCTGGTCCCCACTGGAAGTTCCCCCATTTTAGAAGTAAGCAAAGGACAACAAATTAGTTCCAGTGCAGAGCTTAAATAGTGGGAACAGCAAATAATCCAACATAGAACTGAAAGAAAAAACAGAATATCCACAGACCAGAGACAAAGTTTGATATTAATTAGTAAAGGTCTCGCTTCACCAAAGAACATCTATAAAACCTAGAAGGACTGGAAGTTCCCTGGGCCCCCAAGCCGGGGAAGGGGGAGGGCTGGGGTCCTCAGCCATGCCCCCCAACACCCACACCCAGCCCAGTGAGGACCACCAAGCTGCCATAGGAAGTACCTGAGCTCCCGAGCTGGGCAGTGGGGGGCTGAGGACTTCAGCCACACTCCCCCAACATCTGCACTCAGCCCAACAACAACCAAACCACCACTGGAAGCCCCTTGCAAGAATGAGGGGGTTGCCATGGGCCTCAACCATGCCCCCCCTCCTTCCTCCTTCTCCCACCTTATATGCTTGCCCCTTCTCCTCTACCCCTCCCACCCAACTGCTCCGCAACAACATCTTAGGATGTAAAAACAGATGGAGCCAGGGACCGACGTCTCCTCCCGCAACAAGGCACGCCGTCACTGCCACAGGGCCTGCGTGGGGTCCTAAGCATGGAGCCGGGGACCAACCCCTCCTCCCACAACCAGGCAAGGAGGATGCCAAAAACATCACTTCCATTTGGGTGGCCCAACGCAGCCACCACAATAGCCATGGCTGCTGCAAAAGCAGCTAGACGCCACAACCACCATGCAGGTAGCCCGCCAGTGACTTGAGTGCAGTGACTCAACAAGAGTAATCAGTGGAGACCAAAGAAAAGAAGACGTCTCTCTCCACAAAGTCCATTCCAAAGTGATAGAATAAGCATCTGCTCTACAATAATAGTGGAGGACCTGAACACACCACTCTCAGCATTGGACAGTTCATCTAGGCAACAAATCAACAGAGTAACCATTACTCTTTCAGAAGGAGAGAAGTAATCTAGGGTTATCAGAGGTGGGGGGGATGGGGAGAGATTGGATAAGGGACATAAAGAATAAGTACAATTTGCAATAATATGTATGTTAATAATATTGATTTGATAATATGTCAATGTAGAATCCCCAAAATATGTATAATCAGTTATGATTCAATAAAAAAAAAATTCCTTTACACCCTGTAGTGGATTGAATTATGTCTCCCCGAAACTCATTGAAGCTTGAATTGTATCCCCCTCATTCTATGTATTAGAAACTTATCCCCCACTGTGACTGTTAAGAGGGTGGGAAATCCTATTATGGTAATTGAAAGGTGGAGCCTTGAAGAGGTGATTGGATTGTAGGACCATGCGGTAGTGAATGGATTAAAATGGTGGTCAGGGTTGTGGTTCTGAGGGCTTTAAAAGAAGAGGAGAGTCTGTCTCTGTCTCTGTCTCTCTGTCTCTCTCTCTGCTTCCACCATCTTGCAGTGTGAGACCCCTGGGTCACTGTCACCACCACCAGATGGACTTTGGACTTCTCAGCCTCAGAAACTGTAAGCAATAAATGTCGTTTTTCTTTATAATTACCCAGTTCCGTGTATTTTGTTATAAGCAACACAAAACAGACTCCGTGTATTTTGTTATAAGCAACACAAAACAGACTAATACGCACCCTTTACTCAGATTCACCAATAGTATATATTTTGCTCCATTTGTTATTTATTATATCTATCCGTTATATCCATCTGTCTTTCTACCCACCTACATACATACAAGGGTACTTCAAAAAGTTCATGAAAAAATAGAATTAAAAGAGAATACAAATTTTTTCACAAACATTTTCTATATATTGTTCTGAACCATTTGAGAGAAAATTTAAGAAATTTACCTACAGTAAAATTGACTCTTTTTTTTTTTTTGCTGTGTTTTAGCATACATGTAGAGACATGTAACCATCACAATACGCAGGATACTAAACAGTTCCATGATCGCAAAAAACTCCCTCACACTTCTTCCTTACAGTCAAATCCTACTCCCACACCTAAATCCTGGTAATCACTGATCTGTTATCCTTTCCTATAGTTTTGTCTTTTCCAGAATTTCATGTAAACAGTCCTGCAAAATGTAACCTTTTGAAGTCAGCTTCTTTCACTTGCATCATGCCTTTGCAATTGATTCATGTTGCGTGTATAAATCATTCATCGCTTTATATTGATGCTGAGTAGTAGTGCATTATAAGCACACACCAGTTTGTTTAGCCACTCACTGATGAACATTGAAATTACCATTTCAGTTTTTGTCACTTATGAATAGAGTTGCTATAAACACCCATGTACAAATTTTTATGTGAACGTAAGTCTGCATTTCTCCAGTGTAAATACCTAGGAGTAGGCTTACTGGGTCATTTGGTAAGTGTGAATTTAAATTTATAAGAAATTACCAAACTATTTACCAAAGCAGCTTTACCTTTTGCACCAGCAATGCATGAGTTCCCATTGTTCTGCCGTCTTGCCAGCACTTGATACCACCAGTTTTTTTTTAAAAATTTAACCATTCTGGGGGCCGGCCCGGTGGCGCACTGCTACAGTGCGCCGCTTGGGAAGCGCGGTGGCGCTCCCGCCGAGGGTTCGGATCCCGCATACGGACCGGCCGCTCACTGGCTGAGCGAGGTGCGGGAGCGATACCAAGGGTTGCGATCCGTTGCCAGTCACGAAAAAAGACAAAAAGGAAAAAAAAAAAAATTAACCATTCTAATAAATATGTAGTGGTATCACATTGCGGTTTTAATTTGTATTTTCCTAAAGACTAGTGATGTTAACCACATTTTTCATGTGTTTATTTGCCATCTGTATGTGTTCTTAAATAAAGAATTCATTCTAATTTTTACTCATTTTTAAATTGGGTTATTTTCTCATTGTTGATTATTAAGAGCTTTTTTTTCATTATTCAACTCCTTTGTTGGATACATGATTTGCAAATATTTTATCCTAATTTAAGTTATTAATTTTAATAAAGTCCAGTTAATTGAAAAAAAAGAAAGAAAGAATAACATAAAGCCCTTGGCACAGTGCCTGGTACATGGTAAGTGCTAAAAAATGTTACCTTCTATAATTATTATTGTTTTTAGTATTAAATAACAAAACCATTCTGTCACTTAAAATTTACTGGGAGAGGGCCGGCCCAGTGGCGCACTGGATAGTGCGCCGCTTAGGAGGCGCGGCAGCGCTGCCACCCGAGGGTTCGGATCCCACATACAGACCGGCTCCCGCTCACTGGCTGAGCGAGGCGGGGGAGCAACACCAAGGTTTGCAATCCCGTTGCCGGTCCCTGGTCCGGTACGGGGGCAACACTGAGGGTTGCGATCCGTTGCCGGACACGGAAAAAAAAAAAAAAAAAAAAAAAAAAAAAAAAAAAAAAAAAAAAAAAAATTTACTGGGAGAAGTAGCTCATGCAGTCCAAACTACAAAGATTTGTTTCTATCAAAAGGTCAATTTGTTAATTTACAGTGAGAAAAATAACTGCCAAGCTGATTGCAATTCATATACCCAGCTCAGTATTTCCCCCAGGAAGGAAACATACTTAGGAAAGCAAATGAGATCAGGAGTTTGCTTGGTGAGTATATTGAATGCAAGCCAGAAAGATGATACTTTCTCTCTGCTCTAATTCTCCTTCAACCTCAATCTTTTCTATTTCTGGTACAGCTTAATATTCCTAAAGCAATTATTTTAGAAATAATTGATCAAACTCTCTGACTTTCCTGATCAAACTCTCTGACTTTCCATTGACTACAGAATGAAGCATAAATTCCTCAGTCTGACTTTTAAGATCCATATTAATGTGTCCCCAAAGTTCCTATCCAATTTTATTTCCTACATGATGAGCCCTCCATTCCAGTAAAGATGAGTTCTTTCTTATTCTCTGAAATATGCCACATTTATTTCTTATTCTGAGCCAAGACATATGCTAGGTTTTCCCCATGGAATTCTCTCTCCTCTAACCAAATCCTGTCATCATTCAAGGACCACTTTAAGTCCTTTCATGAGGAATATACAAACCATTTGAGTCCACACTAAATCTCTAAATTCCTATAATTTGTATTGCCTTATTCTTTTTCACATATATATAAATCATATACTGCTTTGTATATTGACTTAACTCCTATAAATCTTATTTCCCTAACCTGATTATAAACTTCTGGATGATGAAAATCTTTTTTTTTTTTTTTTTTGGTATTCTCTCAAAAAATACAGTGTTACATATATATTATATAACATTGAGTCTCAGTGAATAAACAAATCATGCTTTAAGGAATGTCATGGGACAAGCTAAACTCGCCCAGGTGAATCAAGGTTGCCTGGCCAGGGCATGCTCCCCCAGGCTCCTAGTATCCAAGTTTCTCTCAGTGTTCTCCCCTTTGGTTCCTGTAATTACATGATGGTATGCAACCCAAGTTTCCTAATTGCTGCAGGAAGTGAGTGTCTAACAAAGAACAATTCTCTGAAAACATCTTTTTGTTTCTGATTTCTTTTACTCTAGAAGATTTAAATAAATAGGCATGAAACAAATACCCAGTAAGTTACTTTGTAGGAATCTACTTTAATTTTCTGAATATCCTCAGTGTATTAGGCAGTTAAAATGCAGACATACTTTTCCAGACTAATATGTGTCAATTAAGTGATACAAGTGCTGCTTAAAAAAAAAATCAAAGATTAAAGTCATGATTCTGAACTAACTCGCTAAATGGTTATTGATTTTCTTTCAATTCTTAACAAATACCTTAGATGCCTTTTGTATTCTGACGGAGTGAGAGAGCTGAGCAGTGGCCATTGTAGTAATGTATCAGGATTCTTTTAACAATTCTAACCTGTAAAAAAAAAATTAATTAGAGACCTTGCCTAACATAATACTTCCTATCTTACTCTGCCCAAAAATGGAACTGAAAAATTCTAAAAACAAACTAAAATCAAGGACAGTTATAAACTCTTTCCCAGATTGTTTAGAGAGAAATTTACCAAGCTCAATTCCGAAGAAGCAAAGGAAGAATGAATACTAAAATAGTTCTATTGGGCCCAAGATGATTTACTTGTTCACAAATTCATTTGGAGAAGAAAAATAAATTGTAATCACCTAAAGACTCAACAATATATCTTACTCATCTTTGTTATTACCTCAGAGTGAAACAGTTCTTTCATGAGGAATATACAAACCATTGCAGTCCACACTAAATCTCTAAATTCCTATAATTTGTATTGCCTTATTCTTTTTCACATATATGTAAATCATATACTACTTTGTATACTGACTTAACTCTGTATATAGCAGGGGCTCAAAAACACTTCTTGAATTAACTTCATGTGTAATTTATTTGCAAATTTAACTCAAAAGTTAATGTTTTCACTTTATACCCATTAGGATTGCGATTGAAAAAAATGGCAAATGACGAGTACTGCTGTGGATATGGAGAAATTAAAACACGTGCGCTGCTGGTGAAACTATTAAATGGTGTAGCCATTGTGGAAAACAGTATGGCAGTTCCTCAAAAAGTTGAACAGAATTACTATATTATCCAGAAATTCCACCTCTAGGCACAAATCCAAAAGAATTGAAAGCAGGACCTCAAACAGATACTTGTACACTAATATTCATTACAGCATTATTCACAACCCAAATGTCTATAAACAGATGAATGGATAAACAAAATGTAGTCTATACAATATATTCAATCTGAAAAAGGAATGAAATTCTGATACATGCTACAATGTGAACGAACCTTGAAAACAGTATGCTAAGAGAAAAAAGCCAGACACAAAAGAACAAATACTGTATGATTTCATTTATATGAGGTACCTACAGTAGGCAAATTCATAGAGACAGAAAATAGAATAGAGGTTACCGTGGGCTAGGGGGTGGAAGGAATGGAGTGTTTAATGCGTGCAGGATTTCCATTTGGGATTATGAAAAAGTTTTAAAAATGGATAATGGTGATGGTTGTACAACACTGTGAATGTGCTAAGTGTCACTGAATTGTACACTTGAGAATGGCTGAGGTGGTGAGTTTTACATTACGTATAGTTTACCAAAATTTAAAAAAAAAGTAATTTTTAAAATAAAATACGTCTTGTTTTCGCCTGTATTGCTTCATTAACATAAAAAAGAAGCAAATCTTCCCCTTTCAAAGGCCTTAATTTAATTTTACTTGAGGCTTCTTTTCAAAGTTTTAGGGAGTTCTGACAAAAATACTTACAAAATAGCTCATCTAAGGAAATGCCATTCTGGACTACCCAGAATAAGGCTATCCTGTTTTTGTGTATTGATTAATACAAGACTGTAGAAGATTTTGCCAATGAAAGATAAAATTATTTAAATACACTGCCACAAGGTGGTGATAGAGATTATAAACAGGTAATATTTAATTTCTGTCAAATTATTTCTTCAGAGAAGCACTAGGGGACACTCTTTTTTAATATTTTATATGAGACTGAAAACCACCTAATAGTCCTTTGGTCCTTAAAGATTCCATGGTATCTTTTGTTGACTTCAGAGTATAACCTTTAAGTTTGATTCATCACATCATTTGCCTCCCTTAAATTTCAATAAAATGGGGGGAGAGAAGTAGCTACAAGAATTTGAGCTCTAGTCCTTGCCCATTAAATCATGGTAAACTACCCCCTACTGGATAGTTATTAGTTTTAGAGACAATAAATAAGAGGAATAATGATTTTTAAAAAGCTTCCCATATTGCTGGGTTTTTTAATTTCTCTATGATCATAAGACATTCTGATGGCAATTCTAGACAATCAAACCCCAAAAAGAGCATCACACAATTAGAACACAATGCATTACTACATCCATATTTTGAAATGCATAGATGGCCTGGATTAAACTGGTATTATCACTGAAAACTCTGAGATATCAAAGGCACTTGCTTTTGAGAAAGGATTCAAGCTAGTCACTATTAGCATTTGGTTAATTCCTTGGGAATTAAATTTATAAAATAAGTAAAATAAAATTTTATATACACATATGTATATAAATCGAGAAATATAATTGGCAGTATAAAGTAGTAGAAAGAGGCCTTGGAGTTAAGGTACCTGGGTTCAAGTTCTGACTCTACCTAGCAGCCATGTGACCCTGGCCAAGTTACTTAATCTCTCTGGGCTTTAGTTTCCTTTTTGTAAAACGGAGATAGTAAATAAAATTCTTCAGGGCTCTTTCAGTGTTTATCTAAACATGTGTTCATCTGGAAAGGTAGCATAGCACAATGGTTAATCACATGGACTCTTCAGGAGCCAAACTGCCTCGGACCAAATCTCAGTCTATGTACAATTCACTTGCCATATGACCTTGGGCAAGTTGTATGCACCTCAGTTTTCCCATCGGTAAAATAGAGAAAATAATAGTATCTACTTCATAGGGTTGTTTTGAGGATTAAGTTAGTAATTATTTGTAAAGCATTGAACACTTTCTGACACATTATATGTAACAAAGAATGTTTACTTTAAACAATCATATTAGAGTTCAATCTCCTGATTATCCTCCAGCTTTCCAGTTGTTCCTTCTCTGTTCTCTTCAGACTTTTTCCCCATTTTTCCCTGCCATTTTGGTGTTCTTCAGAGTTCTGTCCTAGGAGCTCTTCTTTTTTTACTTATAAACACTCCCTGGATGAACAAATATACTCCCATGTCTTAATTACCATTTCTATTTTAATGATTCTTATATGTATATTCCCAGGCCAAGTCTCTCTTGCAAGTTGTTGACCTCCTCCTCTAACTGTCCATGAGATAGTTCCACTTTGATGTTTTCAACACAACCAGTGTGAATTCTTCTCCACTAAAACCTACTTCTCTGTTCCATAGCCAATGAATGACATCATAAAATATGTATTCGCTCAAGCCTAAAACCTGTGACTCAACCCTGATCTTTCTTCATTCCCATGTCTAGTCATCTTAATATTTCTCAAATGTGTTCACTCCTCACTTTATCCATGTTGTTGTCATCTCTACTTTAGATCAGACCAGCCTCATCTTTTGCCTGGACTGCTGCAACCAACTATCTGCCTGCCACTGGTCTTATCCTTTTCCAGTCTTCTTTTTATTGCAGCCAGAGTTTTCTTTTTAAATTATAAACATGATTATATAATTTCTCAGACTGAAATACTTCAATGGCTGCTCGCTGCCTTCAGAATAAAATCCAAATTCCTTATCATGGCTTCAAGATTTGGCTCATGCCTCCATTGCCTCTTCTCTAACCATTTCCCTTACACTTTTATGCACTAGACATTTTTATCTTCTTTACCCTGAAGGACTATATCCTCTCTAGCTTTCAGGCTTTTGCAATATTCCCTCTGCCTGAAACATCTTCCTCCATTCCCAGTTCCTACTCCTATATGTCTCCTAGATATGGCTTAATATAATTTTCTCAAGGAATAATTTCCTGATTCTCACTACCACCACTACCAAGTCCAGGTCACATGCCCATCGCAAAATATACTGTATCATAGTTGCCTTTATGTATCCCCCTACATACTGTGAGCTAACATGAGGGCAAAGTTGTGTCTGTGTAGCTCATTCTTTATTTTCTGAAATTTTTAAAAAAGGTACAATTCACTAGATTTTAGTGTATTCACAAAGTCTTACAATCATCACCACTAATTCCAGAACATTTTCATCACCTCTAAAAGATACCCCACACCCATTAGCAGTCACTCCTGTTCTCTCTTTCCCTCAGCCCCTGGCAACCACTGGTCTACTTTTTGTCTCTATGCATTTGTCTATTCTAGACCTTTAATATAAATAGAATCATACAATATGTAACCTTTTGTGTCTTGTTCAACTCATTTTTAACCTCCAGCATTATCACAATATTGGAACAAAGTAAGTGCTTAATAAATATTTGCTGAGTCAATGGAGAAGCACTAGAGAAAAACGAAGAATGAAGGGTCTAGAAAAGAATTCAAAATTTTAGAGGCAGGAGAGATTTTAAATATCATTGCTATGGTTTGAACGTGTCCCCCAAAGTTCATGTGTTGGAAACTTAATCTCTAATCCAAGTGTTGAGAGGTGGGATCTTTAAGAGATGAATGGATTAATGTCATTATTGTGGGAGTGAGTTCATTATCAAGAGAGTGGGTTTGTTATAAAAGTGAATTTGGCCCTCTCTTGCCCTCTCTCATGCTCTCTCTAGCTCTCTTTCTCACTATGTGATACATTCTATCATGTTACGATGCAGCAAGAAGGTCCTCACAAGATGTGGCCCCTCAATCTGGGACTTTCCAGCCTCCAGAACTTTAAGTCAATAAATTTCTGTTCTTTATAAATACCCAGACTCAGGTATTCTGTTACAGCAGCACAAAATGAACTAAGACAGTCATCTACTTCAAATATCTAATTTTCTAGATGAGGAAATCAAGATCTGGAGAAATCATTGATTTACTCAGCATCAGTCAACCACGTAGTGGCAGAACTGAGACTAAAACTCAAGAAGTTTGACTCACAATTTAGTGGGTTTTCTAGACTGATTCCCCAAAATGAAATCCCCCTTTGCTTTCATTCCATGTAATGTGATGCTCTACCAGTACCTCCCTAGTTTGGGGGCTTGCTTGCCATTTTTAAACATAGTAAGGTCTTTTTCCAGTGTTCTAGAATGAGTTTGCTTCAGGAAGACAAAAATACTTCAATTATTTTCCAGAAAAGCCAGGCTCCTTTAAACCTCTAACTATTCTGTCGCTACTGTTTTTTTCCCTTTGAGCAGGTGTTTTGTGGCAGTCTCCTATTCAAGTACATACACTGCTTAATTTTGAAAGCTCACAAGCTGACAGCCCCAGGAGATATGACTCTAGTGATCAAGCACTGTCAGAGAATAGCT